ACATCTTTCTGCTTTCAGCCAAGATCCATCTGGTGTCAGCAATGATAACCCTCATCTTACTTCCTTGTCTGACTACAACTTGCACCTCTGGCAATTCCCTGTCAATGTACTGTGGCATCTTTTGCAAAATTTTACTTGTATGTGATATTAATGATATTGCCTGATGTTTTCCACATTCTGTTGGGTCACCTCTCTCTGGAATGGGCATGACTATGGATCTCTTCCAATTAGTTGGCCAGGTAGCTGTCTTCCAAATTTCTTGACATAGGTAAGTGAACGCCTCCAGTGGTGCATCAGTTTGTATTCCATCAGTTTGCATTCTGTCAATTTTTTGCCAATGCCTTCAGTGCACCCTGGACTTCTTCCTTCAGTACCATTAGCTCTTGGTCATATGCTACCTCTTGAAATGGTTGAACACCGACCATTTCTTTTTGCCACAGTGACTCTGTGTATTCCTTCCATCTTATTTTGATGTTTTCTGAGTCATTCAATACTTTGCCCATTGTTGTTGTTGTTGTTAAGTGTCATCGAGTTGGCTTTGACTCATAGAGACACTGAATAGGATTCCAAGGAGCGGCTGTGAGCTTGTGGATCAAACCAACCTTGCAGTTCAAGGCATTAACCCACAGCACCACACCAGGAGTAGAATTCTTCAGTGTTGCAGTTTGAAGCTTGATTTTTTTCTCTGTCAGTTTTTTTAGCTTGAGAAATGCTGAGCCTGTACTTCCCTTTTGATTTTCTAACTCAGGTCTTTTCACATTACATTATAATACTTGACTTTATCTTCTAGAGCTGCCCTTTGAAATTTTCTGTTCAGCTCTTTTATCTCTTCATTTCTTCCATTTGCTTTAGCATCTTTATGCTGGAGGTCAAGCTTCACAGTCCCTTACAGCCTAGAAAATTCTATGGTGGCAGTTATATGCTGCCCTGTAGGTTCACTATGAGTTGGGATTGACTTACCAGCCCACAACAATGACGATGACAACAAGAACACCAGCAAAGAGAAATCATTGGAAGTGACTGAACAACTTGCAGCCTGAGCTTTTTCCTTTTTCCTATTGTCTAGCATTTGGAGGAGGTGGTGAGCCCTTCTGGACCACCTGGATGAAAGTAAGAGTCCCGAGGACATAGAACCTTCCTCCGTGGAACATCCACCAGTCCTGGGGGCTTTGTAGAACAGAGCTCCGGTGAACGACAGAGAAATGCAACTCTATCTTGTTTAAGCCATTGGCATTGTTATTGTTTTTGGCTCTGTTATATGGATTTGGACCTTTTTCATTACTAAGAACTTTTTAACCAGTGATCCAAAGTGTGCCCAAGAATACGAGGAGGCTTCAAAAAGTTCGTGGAAAACTGGAACGCAAAGATAATGGGATTTTCCCACAGACTTTTTGAAGGCCCCTCATAGGTGAGCTGAGATCCTGATCTCCCACCCCTCAGTTTAGCTGGACAGGATCTGGGGCTACCAGACCCCTAGACCAGTCACCTTGGCCAGCATCAGCCTAATCTTCTTTATATCCTACAACCATTATCATTTCCCCAGAATAATATATATTATTATTATGACACACACTGCATTTAGTTGTAAATTGGCATAAAGGTATATACTAAACATATATTCATAGAAGAACATATTTTGAAACAACATTTATATAAATGAAAAAGGTGGGGTACTGATAGAGATGAAAAGAGACTAAAGAAGTGTTTCTTGGTGGTACAAACAGGTAAGACTGACAACTGAAATGTTGGAAATTCAAGTCGATCCTTAGGCACCTTGGAAGAAAGGCCTGGTGATCTTCTGGGGCAAAAATCAGCTATTAAAAACCCTAAGTAGTCCAGAGGAGTTGCAGTTGACTTGAAGGCAACTGGTGGTTTGTTAAATATATATATCAACCAAACTCAAAGCACAAGTCTGGATTTGAGCTTGGTCTGGGAAGGCAAAAAAAAAAAAAAGGCTTTGAGACATTTTTGGGATAAATAGGGAAATTTCTGGAGAAAGATGAGACTTTCGGCTCTCCTAAAAATTTACAGCCTTGGAAACCCTATACAGAGTTACTAGGAGTTGGAACTGACTCAACAATATACAAGAAAGGGAAATTTGGGAAGCATTTTAAGTTCTTACTCGTGAGGTTATACAGAAGGGTATTCTTATTCTTAGGAGATGCACACTGAACGCTGGACAGATGAAAACCCACATGTGTACCCTCACACTGAGGGACAGCAAAAGGCACTGGAGAGAAACAGACAGACGGGCAGGAGAAGAACAATGGCAAAGTGTGAGCAATTGCTGGATCTAGGTGGGGGATACTTGTTGCAATTTTATTTTATATTTCTATATACATGGGATAATTTTCATAATAAGAGGTTGTGGAATTAAATTTAAAAAATCTGACTGTTTTCTACAATATTATATTAGGGTCTGATCATATATTAGGGTCTAATCTGGAGCGTGCTTTTATACTTACTGGTATAGTGTGCGTTTTAACTGTCAGTAAACATAAAAGGGTGGATTATGTTCACATACACACAAGACTGTGTAAGGACTAGTTCTGTAAGGATAGAAAAGAAACCAGCAAGAGTCACTTCCTACCTCTGGGGAAGAAAATGAAGAGATGGGGAAGGCATGGGAGGGAAAATGATTTTTCACTTCTTCTTGTACGTCGTTGAGCTAAGACACGTCAAATATAGCAATTAAAAAAAAAAATCTTCATAGAAATCAAATTCTCAACCTATTTTGACAGTATGGCTTCTCATCTCAAAAGTAACCCAAGAGAACAAGTGAATCCTGTTTTTCAAGTATAATTTTATTTTCTAATACTATTAATACAAGCTAAGGCATTCTAATACTTTTAAAAAACTCAGTATAACCTAACAGGGAGTTGTTTGGATTTGACTTCTTAAAAAAGACAACTATCTAGATTCCATTTTTTACACCTTTTACAAAGAATGAGTCAGATACATTTGTAGATGGTATATTGATAAATCAATCAATGGCAAAGTGTACATTTCCATTGACTTTTTAAAAAGTGAGGAAAAAAAGAAAATAGTTTCTACACAACAAACTTAAGTGAAAAGGGATGAGGCAGGCAAGTTTTATTTGTTGCTTCCTACACTTCTATGTGATTAGGATTTTGTTTTTAATGAGTGTGCCTATCTATAATAATAACAAAAGCTTTAAAAAACTATCTAAATTATCAATACCAAAACTGTTCCCCATAAGCCCCAGCCTCTTGTTATGTGAAAGCCCCTTCTCAATCAGTTTCTGCACGGCACCAATCCCCCATCACCATCTTGTCTTTGAAAGACAATCTTAAGAAAATGTGTAGAACTGATAATGTTGTGTAACACTTTCACTGCATACCTGATTGTAATAATCTGTCCAAAGTTCAGGTCGAAGTTGTTCACTTGAGCGATGAAAATGGCAGCCAAGGCCTCATAGAGAGCAGTACCATCCATGTTAATGGTGGCCCCCACGGGAAGCACAAATCTGGTGACGCGTTTGTCGACGCCAATGTTCTCCTCCAGGCACTTGAAGGTGATGGGCAGGGTGGCAGAGCTGAGAACAGGGGGACAGGGAATGTCAGCTGATGTGTATGGTCTGTGGGACACAGATGTCCTTCCTCCCCCATGACTGAACTGACAGGGAGCCGAGTGAGCACTTAGAGAAAGAGGGAAGCAGGGTCAGGAACAGTGTTTCCCCCATGGGGTCAACTGGCAGCTCTCCTCCTTCTGTTGGGTTCCTCTGTAGAAAGAACTTGTGATTATTACCCGTCACAACAGCATGTGCCAAGTCAGACAAATTGCAAACGGAAAAGTGCAGGAAAGCATAGCTTTGTCCCCTCAAATGAGCAGATAGCTAGTCATTCCCCTAGGTCCTCAGTGGGTCTAAACAACATCATATACCTGAAAGGTTAACACCCAAGACACAGTGCTCCCCTCTGGAGTCCCCAAGTGGTGCAAACAGTTAACAGACTTGGCTGCTAACTGAAAGGTTAGCAGTTCAATCCACTCAGAGACTCTTAGGAAGAAAGACCTGGTGATCTGCTTCTTAAAAACCAGCCATATCTAATCTGATGCACATGGGTCACCAGGAGTCAGACCCGACTTAACAGCATCTTGGTTTGGTATTTGGTTCCTGTGATAGTTAAGGTTTCTGTGTCAACTTGGCTTGATCAAGAGTGTCAGTGGTTAGCAGTTACAATGTAGCATCACCACTACGATGAGATCTCATATGATGCACTCCCCCGTGATGTGATCTGATGTAATTATCCTATGTATTGTAAATCCTCAAGTCTAGGATGCTAATGAGGCCAGATGCCATCTACAGCATTAGGTTACATCATGAGTCAATCTCTTCTGAGATAAAAAAGGAGAGAGGAGTGGGCAGAGCTCCCACCAAAATAAAAGAGCAGCAAGTGGAGTCATTCTTTGGACCTGGGGTCCCTGCAGTGTGAAGCAACTGGGGTCCTAGACCCAGGGGAAGACTGATGCCAAGATGTATGCAGATCTCCAAGGAATGCTGGGCCCACACATGCTGAAAAGAGACAAAGACCTTCCCCAAGAGCTAGCATTTTGAATTTGAGCTTCTAGCCTCTTAAACTGTGAAAGAATAAATTTCTGGTTGTTAAAGACATCCACTTATGGTATTTCTCTAATTGCAACATTAGATAACTAAGACAGTATCTGTAACCAGAAGGCTGTGATTCAAAGTAAAGTTCCGGGTAACCTGCACACATACCTGGAAGAGGTCCCCAGGGCTGTGATGAGGGCTTGGAGTAAGCCTGCGATAAAGACCCAGGGGTTTTTACGAGTCACCAGGAAGTAGAGTAGAGGCAGAACAATGACTGCGTGAATGAGTAAGCCCACAATGACTGTCACCGTGTACATGGCGAGCTGCCCCCCAATCACTCCCATGTCTTCCATCTCCACAATTTTCCCTGCAATCAGGAAGAGGATACCAAGAGGGGCATACCTATGTAGAAGCAAACACAGGACACAATTGGGAGTCTGGTTTCCAACAAGTTATACATCTGATAGCAAATGATAAGATAAAAGTATAGCTGATTTTCAAGCTTTTCTGCTCAGGATACTATTGCTGTTAATTGCCCCCCTCTCTTGCTCATGGGGGCCCCATACACAATGGATGGTACTATGCCATCCCTCCCAAGATCGGTTGCAGATCAGACGGTTGTGATTCATAGGGCTTTCATTGGGAAGTAGATAGCCAGGTGTTTCTTCCTAGTCTTAGTCTGGAAGTTTCACTGACACCTGGTCAGCCTCCTAACAACACACAGCCTCTACTGACAGATGCATGAGGTGTATTCGTCAGGAATTGAATGTGGGTGTCTTGTATGGAAAGTAAGAACTCTACCACGGAACCACCATGGCCCCCACAATACTATTAGGACTTCCAAATGCTGTGGATTGTTTTTGTTTGTTTGTTTGTTTTTTTAATGCAAATTTCCCCTGGTTACTGGTGAATCAGGTATTCTACTTCACTCACAGTTTTCTCAAGATAGGATTGTTATTTTTTCCCCCTAAATCTATGACAAAAGGCAGAGACAGATAATGTCTATATTTTTTTCTTCTCCTATTAGCTGTCCTTTCATCACACCTGGGTCATTGTTCTGGTCCTCAGATGTCATCATTGGCTCAGCCTCCTGCTCCCCTGAAGTGCCAAAGCCCGGAGAATCAACAGCCAGACTTTTAGAAGCATTTCTCACATCGGAGCCGGACTCCCCAGTTAAAGTAATCAATGTCATCTCAGAGTTCTAGATTGACAGTCAGCTCTCTTCTTCATGGACCACTTTGATGGCCTTTTCCATATCCACGCAGCACTTGCAATAGAACTTAATTTTATTCTAACCAACCATTGCACTTAAGCAAATGGAGCATGGTGGCTCTGCAGGATAAACACTGGACTGCAAACCACAAGGCCAGAAGTTCGAGCCCACCAGCTACTCTGTGGGAGAAAGGGGAGGCTTTCTGATCCTGCAAAGATTCACAGCTTCAGAAACCCTATACAGGGTTGCTATGAGTCAGAACCAATTCGATGGCACTTAACAACAACAATAAATTTCAGATGAAATTTTACTGTATTGTGCAAATGAAGAGTGAATTTGACCTGCAGTAAGTTATAAGTAACCATGAAATAAATTCAGAGTTATTAAAGTTAATTTAGTGTACATGTATGGACTGCTACAATCAGAGTTATAAGTGCCCTGATTGAGAAATTATTACTCACCGCTATAGCCATTGGTGAACTTCCCCTTGTCAATGCAACCAAGAATGAACAACTGAGATACAAAATGATTTGCACATATTGAAATAGTCTCTTCTGTTTGGAGGACCCCTTACCCCACTTTCAACTTCTTTTGCCTGATATATTCAGTAAACTGCAATCAAATTCATATTACTAAAAACAGAGAAACTAACCACTCCGAAGGAAAAGGGCCTGCTGAGAACACTGTAGGACGTCCTTTAAATGGAAAAATACAATGTTTCTTTTAAAAAAAGCCCCTTAAAAACACAGCCAGGAAATTATAGGAGTACCTGTTTTCAGAAATGCATTAAATCAATGTTGAATGTGCAGGCGACTGTACCGCTAGAGAAGCTACATGTGAGGTTCATTCAGTGGCTTTGAATGGGCTTCTTTCATAACAGAGGTGAAAGGTGGAGGCATTTTAATAATATGAAGATAAATGTCCACTTTCAGCTGTGCCAGGACTTCAGTGGAGACTTCCAGTTGGGGGCTCCTGTGGAGACCACAATCTGTCCAGTCTTTGTGCCTAAATTCATATTCATCTCGTATAAACTCCTGAAAAATGGACTTCTCTGAGCTTTGGTGACCATAAAGACAAAAGGTATTTTTAATCATGTTGGAGAGTGAGCGCCTTTCTTTAAAAAAAAATGGATGCTTTCTTGCCTCAGGTGCCAAGGAGGAGTTTGGATTAAAAATACTGGATAAAAGAAAAGCAAGCTCACCCAAGGCCTACTGCCATCAAGGGAGGCTCATTGCTGGGGAAAATGTACTTTTTCAAGGTTCATGTTTCTCTTTGAATTAAGTTTTTTACTTTGTCTCTTGGTTTCAACTTTATTAAGGGAAGTTTTGTTATAAAGTGTGGCTTGGCATTCTATCATACTTCCCTCAAGTTCTTTTAGGCTTGCAGCTGAATTGCTGTTTCTTTCTTCCTTAGGGCTGAAGGGGAATAGGAAGGAGATGGTTTTTCCGATGGCCTAGGGCCTCTGTGGAGTCCTGGTGTGGTGCCGTAAGATCAGCACTGGACCACAAGGTCAGCAGTTCAAACTCACCAGCTGCTCCTCAGAAACCCTATACAGGGTCACTATGAGTCAGAACTGATTCAATGGCACTTGGTAGCTCACTGGTAGAATTCTTGCCTCCACGTGGGAAACACAGGTTTGGTTCCAAGCCAGTGAAGCTTGTGCACAACCACACCCGCCTGTCCTTGGAAGCTTTTGTGTTGCTGAACAAGTCTCAGTGAAGCTTTCAGACTGGGATGGCCTGAAACTTCTGAACACATGTCTATGAAATCCCTAGGGTTCATAACAGTCCAATCCATAACCGATCATGGTGATGGTGCAAAATCAGGTAGCATTAAAAAAAAAGTGTTCAGAATATATATACAGCAAAAACCAACACTAATTCAACAGTTTCCGTATGTTCAATTCAGTGATACTGATTACATTCTTTGGGTTCAACATTCTCGGCCTCCTTTTCTGAGCTGTTTCTTCCTCATCAACATAAACTTACTGTGCCCTGAAGTTCCTCGAGAATCTTTTGAGTTGCTTTTGTCAGTTTGATCTCATATAGATACTTCATAAAAGAGCATAATGCTTAAGGCAGACATATTTTTACTTAAGGAGCTCTGGTAGCATAGTGGTTATGAGTCGGGCTGATAATCCCAAGGTCAGCAGTTCAAAACTAGCAGTTCCGCAGGAGAAAGATGAAGCTTTCGGCTCCTGTAAAGATCTATAGCCTCTGAAACGCTATACAGGATCACCATGAATCGAAACCGACTCCACGGCACCTCACCACCACCACCAAGCTAACTACTGTTTAGCTATAAGAAGGCTTAAGGAACTATTTTCTGTTTCAGGTTTAAAGAACTATCTCACGGCCATAGTTTCATAGATTAATGAGCCTCTATGGCTGCAGGAAGAAAGGAGCTCTGGTAGCGTAGTGGTTACAAATCGGGCTGTGAACCTCAAGGTCAGCAGTTCGAAACTACCAGCCGCTCTGAGGGAGAAAGATGAGGCTTTCTGCTCCCATAAAGATTCACAGCCTCGGAAACCCTGTACGGGGTCGCTATGGGTCGCAACCGACTCCACAGCACTTAACAACAACAACAACAATGGCTGCAGGAAGTCTGGTGTCTGTATAAATTTGAAATTCTATTCTCTACCTCCCCCTTTTGATAAGGATTATTCTATAGAATATTTGATCCAAATGTTCAGTAATGGCAGCCAGACACCATCCAGTTCCGGTCTCATAACAAACATGGCAGTTGTTCATAGAAGTAATTAACCCCACAGGCCATATCCTCTTTCTATTCCTGTCTCTTCTTCCTCCACTGCTCCAGGCAAATAAAGACCAATTGTTATGCTTTAGGCAGCCACGTCTAGCTGCTCCTCGGAAACCCTACATAGGGTCACTATGAGTCAGAACTAGCTCGACAGCACTTAACAAAACAAACAAATCTCCAGGGTCTGGTGCTGTATGCTTGGCATGTAGTTGTTTTGTGCTGTTGAGTTGGCTCTGACAGCAGAATGAAACACAGCCTGGTCTTGTGCCATTCTCACAATTGCTGTTCTGTTTATGCTACTGTTGTAGCTACTCATTGTAAGTCTTTACCTTGTTCACTGGTCTTCTAGTTAACCAAATATGATGTCCTTTTCCAGGACCTGGATTTTCCTAATAACATGTCCAAAGTACTTGAGACAAAGACTCACCATTCTTGCTTCCATAGAGCATTCTGGCCGTACTTCTTCCGTGACAAATTTGTTTGTCCTTCTGGCAGTCCATGGTACTTTCAATATTCCTCACAAGCATCGTCATTCAAATGTGTTAACTCTTCTGTGGTTTTCCTTATTCATTGTCTAGTTTTCACATGCATATAAGGCAATTGGAAATACCATGGTTTGGGCCAGGCATACCTTAGTCTTCAAAGTGACATGTTTGCTCTTGAACACTTTAAAGAGGTCTTTTGCAGTGGATTTGCCCAATGCACTCACTATGTTGTTTGATTTCTTGACTGCTGCTTGCTTCCATGGGCATTGATTATGGATCCAAGCAAACTGAAACTCTTGACAGCTTCAATTTTTTCTGTTTATTATGACAATATTTATTGATTCAGTTGTGGGACACAGTAGACACTCATTAAATGTTTATTGAATGAATAACTGCATGGATTTAAAATGGAGGAATGAGGAATAGTATCTTACCACTAGGGGTAAAGGAGTGGATACCTTTCAAAGAGAAGCAAGCAAGCTTACTAAAGTAGGTTTTCATATAGGCTCAAACCTCTGGTGGTGATGGTGGTGGTGATGTGCTGTGGAATTGGTTCCGACTCATAGCGACCCTGTATAGGGTTTCCAGGCTGTAAGTCTTTATGGGAGCAGAAAGCCTCATCTTTCTCCAGTGGAGCATCTGGTAGATTCAAAGGACCGACCTTGCCATTAGCTGCCCAGCTCATAGTCCAGTATTCTAGCTGGACTTCTTTCAAAACTCTAGAGGCTAGGAAACTGTTTATTGATTTTCGTGTGTTTTCCAGAGTAAGATCATAGCAACTGGTTCTCCATATAGTATCTTCTCAATATAGAACACATGTGGCTAGCAATAAGCATCTTGCTTATAGCACACAGGAGTCCTGGTGTGGTGCCGTGGAATAAGCACAAGGTCCGTTTGAACCACAAGGTCAGCAGTTCAAACTCACCAGCCACTCCTCAGAAACCTTATACAGGGTTGCTATGAGTTGGAACCAACTTGACAGCACTTAACACCACCACCAACAGTATAACACATGGGGTCCCTGGGTGGTGTAAACATGTAATATGCGCAGCTGCTAACCAAAAGGTTGGAGATTCAAATCCACCTGGAGGCGACTTAGGAGAAAGACTTGGAAATCTACTTCTGCAAAATCAGTTAAAGTTCTCTCTGGATACATGGGGTTGCCAGGAGTCTGAGTCGGCTTGATAGCAACTGGTTTATATAGCATAGAGAGCAAATGGAAATACATACCACATGATCACGGCTACCAGCCTCATGATGGCTTCATTAAGAGAGTCAAAGAATTCTCTCAGGGCCTGCCCCTGCTCCTTCATGTTTCCAATCACAAAACCAAAGCACATGGAAAAGACCACGAGCCCCAGGGCGTTGACTCCATTCACAGACCCCGGAACTGGGATCAGCTCCTCTCTGATCCGAGTGAGCGTTTCCAAGGCCTCTGACACGTTGTTTATCACAGCGCCCATGAGTGTGTCGTTAGGCTGGACAGGCACTTTAAAACTCCTCTTCTCATAGTTGGTTTTAAACTTAAAATGAAAAAGCATAACAGGAATTGAAGGTGATTTAAAAATTTTCTTTGTTATTTCCCTGTTGTCCAAATTTTCTATAATAACACACATTACGTTACACTCAGAGGATAGTGTTGTAGAAAGTGTCTAAATCAATCAATCTATCTATCATCTATCTGTCAATCTAGTTACAAATCCCACCCCCTTCTCAATGTTGACAGACACAAACACAATCAAATACATAGAACAGGAAAATAAATGGCTGACCAAAGACGTTGAGCTCACCATCCACATGTGTTTTTGCTTTATTCTGAACTCCTAATAAAGTGACTATAATGTGATTTAAATAAACAAAGAAAGAAACAAACCATAAATCTGAATACAATAGTCCCTTTGATTCCTTGTGGGATCACACTATGGGACCATAGATAACTTATGCTATCCTTTTCTCAGATTTTACAGCTGTGAAACAAAGATTGTGGTTCACAAAGCATATAAAAACATTTTGTAAACTTTAAAGCATTCCACGAATGTTGGCCGTTGTTCTTGTGTGCCGTTGAGTCAGTTCCGACTCATAGCGACCCTGTATAGGGTTTCTGAGGAGCAGCTGGTGAGTTTGAACTGCCCACCTTGCAGTTCAAAGCCACCTTACGATCCAGTACTTTATCCTGCAGAGCTATACCAGGACTCCAGTGGTGTTCAATGACAAAGACTTAGTTGGAGATTTTGGTGGAGATTAAAAATGAAAAATCCCCAGTCTTCAAGGCATTCCTGGTATTGTTTTTTTCTAATTTTCATTTTATTGTGGTAAAAAACGTTCTACGAAACGTTTTCCATTCTAGCTATTTTAAGTATACGATTCAGTGGTGTTACTGACATCCACCAGGTCCTGCTTCCATCACATTATTGCTGTTGTTAAGTACTGTGGAGTCAGTTCTGACTCACAGTGACCCTGCACAGGGTTTCCAAGGCTGTAAATCTTTATGGGAGCAGAATGCCTCAGCTTTCTCCCGCGGAACTGCTGGTAGTTTTGAACTGCTGACCTTGAAGTTGGCAGCCCAACTCGTAACCACTATGCTACCAGAGCTCCTTTAACCATCACATTATCCATTGCTAAATGTTCTAACATCACCCTCTAACAGATCCTCAGTATCATTTCAGCAATTGCTCCCATTCTCTCCTCCCCCCAGGCCCTGGTAACCACTAAAAAAACCCTTGTCTCTGTGCATTTGCCTATTCTTAATAGTTTTTTTAAGTGGGATCATATCAGACATAGCAGATTTGTCCTTTTGCATTTGATTTATTTCATTCAGCATATTTTCAAAGTTCCATTCATATCATAGCAGGTATCCAAATTTCATTTCTCTTTATGGCTAAAAACATTGCATTGTATATATGTGCCACATTTTGTTCATCCATCCATCTGCTGATGGGCTTGGGTGGTTTCCACTTTAACTATTGTGACTAGCACTGCAATGAACACTGTTAAATGCCTATCTGTTTGAGTTTCTGGTTTTAAGTCTTTTGGGTACATACTGAGGCATGGAATTGCTGGCAAGAAGATAAGCACTCAGCTACTAACCAGAAGGCATGTGGTTTGAACACACAAGCCACTGCACGGGAGAAAGATGTGGCAGCCTGCTTCTGTAAAGGGTTTTAGCCTTGGAATCTCTGGGGGGCAGTACTACTGTCCTAGAGGGTCACTATGAGTCAGAACAGATTTGACAGCAATGGGTCTGATTTTGTTTTTTATGGTTATTCTTTAACTTTTTGAGGAATCACTCGACTTCCATTATTTCTGTACCATTTTACACTGTCAGCAAAAGAAAAGGACATTAGTTTCTGCACATTCTATCTGACATTTGCCAGTTCCCTTTTTCTGATAACAGCAGCCACCCCCGTGGGTATGAGGATATTACAAATAAGAATAGGTACATAATTATTATTTGGTGGTGACGACCCACTTCTCTAAATCCATGGTAGGATTTCTCTTCTTATTCAAGAGATGATCTTTTCTATATCACTTCTGCTTAGATCCCCCAGACAGAAGATACTGAGTTCATTACAATGACCATATAAATGAATGAAGGCCATTCCTCTATGACTTTAATTAGAGCACAATTCCTGGCTCTGATGATGATGATGATGGTAGAATATCAGAGAGAATAACAGTGCAGGGATGGATGGGGGCTGAATCCAGGGTCTCAGGAAAAAGTACAGCTGTAAATGAAGTGCTGGGTCATTGATCTACTTCTTAGTAATGGGAGACTTGCTCGTCTACTGGAAAACTACACTTGCCAAACAAGGAAATGGCCAACTATCCGTACTGTGGACATGTCCCTGAACAACAGAGGTAATGTGGGTAATTGTAAACAACTAAGAAATCAACTAATCCCTGTCTGTTTCCATTTCCAATCAACTCTCAAATTCGCTTTCTTCCACTGTAGGTGTTGTTGTTGTTGTTGTTAGGTGCCATTGAGTAGGTACCGACCCATAGCGACCTCATGCGTAGTAGAACAAAACACTGCCCGATCCTGGGCCAACCTCACCACTGTAGGTGGGATACTACATTTAATGGATAGTCCAGGTAGATTGTCAGTTCTGATCAACCTTTCCTATGCTTCCAATTGTTTTTCCATAGACACCATTGATAATTGTAGTGAGTTGAACTGTCCCCCCCCCCCAAAAGATCTGTTCAAGTTCTAACACCTGTGAATATGATTTTCTTTAGAAATAGTTATTACAGATATAACCAAGTTAAGGTAAGGTTATACCTGGTTGGGGTGGACCCTAAATCCTATGAGAGGAGTTTTACTATTGTTGTTGTTGTATGCTGTTGTGTACTGTTGAATCATCGTTACCCTCTAGGACAAAGTAGAACTGGCCCATAGGGTTTCTTTATGGGAACAGATCAGTAGGCCTTTTCTCCTGCAGGTTCTAAGTGCCAACTATTTGGATATAGAGACAAACACAGTGAAGGCCAGGTGGAGAGAGAGGCAGAGACTGGAGCGCTACATTCACAAACCAAGAATTGCAGGGAGCCACCAGAGTCTAGAGTTTCCCTAAGGAGGGAGCTCTAGAAAACTCTAGTCAAATCTATTAGCCGACTTAGAAATTCCAACTTTGCATTCTGTTCTAAACCAAAGAGATTTGGGAAGATACACTGCTACCCTTTTAAAATCCTACAAATGCAAAAATCCAAAGATAAAAACAATAAATCTTCACGAGGCAGCACTTCTCCCATCGGAAAGATCTGGAAACCAGCATTTTTGCGATCCCCTGATGTCCCTTCACTGACTGGAATGGTCAGCCCCATGGTGGAATTGAAAGCGGTTTATTATTTATGGTCACATATGGCTTTGAATTTTAAAAAGTCAGATTTGGCATCTTAGGCTTTTTCTTTGTAAAAACAAAAACAAAATGTTTTTGTTAAGTGCCATCCCTTGAATTAGTAGTTTCTGCATGTAGTACCTATTTGACAAAGTCTTAATAAAAATTGTAAACAGGGGAGTGCAAAACAAGACTGATTTCTATGTAGAAAATCCTGTTCTCCACAGGTCAGGGTTTGGTGTGTGCTATAGATCCTAAGCAGATAACAAGGAGGATGACAACTGGTTGAATTGACACCATTGGGAGAAATGTAGGAGTCCCTGGGTGGCACATTTGGTTAAGCATTCGACTACTAACTGAAGGAACCATCGGTGATTTGAACCCATCCAGAGATACTCCAGAAAAAAGGCTTGGCAAAGTCACAGCTCCATTCTATGTACACATGGGTCACTGTGTGTCAGAACCAACTCAATAGCAATTGGTTTGGTTTATTGGTTTGGAGAACTATTTCAGAATGCTTAGTTAGCCACAAACCAAACCCACTGCTGAATCGATTCCAAGTCATAGAGACCGTATAGAATAGAGTAGAACTGCTGCTCCCTAGGATTCCTGAAGCTGTAATACTTTGTGGAAGCAGACTGTCTCATTTTCCTCCCATGGAGTGGCTAATGGGTTCAACCCACCAACTTTTCAGTTAGCAGCCCAGCGCTCTAACTGTGCCACCAGGGCCACTTTTTATTTCACCCAAGATGGTTAATTTTTCCCCTTTTAATACTTTGGGGCAAAAAGGCTTTTTTTTTTTTTTAAAGTAGCATTGGAAAAATGTTACTAATCTTATCTTTAAAAAGGAAAATGTATTTGTATACACAAAAGAGAGCCAAGAATTGCTTGGCAACAGGGTTAAGTAGGAACTGGACCTTTGGCCACCCTGAAATTAGCTTTCTAGGAAGCAGAATGGAAGCACAGAGAAGGGACAGGAATTGGAGTCAACACAATGGATTTGGATTCTGAGACTACCCGTGAGATCTTGGGCCTGTTACCTACTCCACCTGGGCTCTCAGTTGAGATGCTACATCAACGTAGTGAAGATGGTTACACTCACCACAGTTTTATTTACCAGCTCATCGTATTTATATGTATCAAGTAATAGCAGTGTTGGACACTTAAAGGCATTCAATCAATGCTGATACTATGCTTTTATGATATGGCTCCCCATTTTAGAATATAGGTCTATGGCCATACCACCCTGAAAGCACCCAATCTTGTTTGATCTTGGAAGCTAAGCAGGGTGGAGCCAGAGTAGTACTTGGAAGGGAGACTGCCTAGGAATATCAGGTGCTGTCGGATTTTTAAGGAGCTCTGGTAACAAACTGGTTATGAGTCGGGCTTCTAACCTCAAGGTCAGCAGTTTGAAACTACCAGCCGTTCCATGGGAGAAAGATGAGGCTTTCTGTTTCCGTAAAGATTTACAGCCTGGGAAACCGTATGCAGGAATACTATGAGTTGGAACCTAGTCCATGGCACACCACAACCACCACCATTTAGAATAGAGGAGCCCCTGGATGGAGAGAACAGTTAACAAGCTTGGCTACTAACTAGAAAGTTGGAGATTCTAGTCAACACAGAGGTGCTTCAGGAGACGACCCTATGGAACACAGCTCTATTCGACTCCACCATGAACTGAAGTGGACATGAGAGGAACTGATTACTGGTTTTAGAATACTTAGAACCTTTGTTATTGTTGTTAGGTGCCATTGAGTCAGTACCAACTCATAGCTACCCTATGCACAATAGAATGAAACACTGCCCAGTCTTGGGCCAACCTCACAATCATTGCTATGCTTGAGCCCTTTGTAGATTTTTTTTTCATTATTTGGAGAATACTTTATTAGTTTCTATAATCAAACCCATGCAGATAATACCTTACATAGTTAATACAGTGCATTACCCCTGTACAAATGGACAAAAAAATTAAGTTTAATGTTTCCAGACCAATATGGCTGTTAATTTCTGTACAGTGCCAACTCAATGTGGTACAACTAGGATACTTTTTCCAAAGTTGACAGCACAGCTAAAGTTTCCAAAACTCAAATTATATATATAAAGTCCAATCCCAGTGTTAAGCACCAATGGCAACACCAGCTTTTCCAGGTTCTGCAGTTATCTGAACAAAATTATAAAGACATCCAGCACACTCCATTAAAAAAAAGAAAGGAAAAAGTATCAAACAAAACCTCAGAAAACAGCAAAGTTCCTTTACTGTTGTGGTCCCTGGCACCAACTGTCATCTGGAAAGAAAACATCCTAGAATAACGTCATTAAAACAGCTCTAATATAGCACAGTGACTACGACATGTCATAAAGCAAGTACCCATTGATTTATAAATCAAACCAAGCCACCTGAAACATCTTCCTAAGCTTCTTTAAAATAAATTGTAAAATGTATTTTACTTTGGAGTTGGCTTGTTCAGTGGGCATTGGGGAACTGGGCTGTGGGGAGGGGCGGTTGATAACAGGTCAGGAGTAGACAGAGAGGGGGAAAGTGGACATTCTGATTACTGTTCCTAACAATAACAGACTCAAACAGCTATTTGTATGCATGACACACAAGTCCTTAGTACGAGGTGTGGAGCCATAGTGTAGGTAAACACTCCACCTCAAGGTTGATTTGAACTGTGAGGCTGGTGGTTCAAACTCACTAGCCTTTCCTTGGAAACCTTATACAGGGTTGCTATGAGTCAGAACCGGATCAACAGCACTAAACAACAGTACAAGGTAGTCTTGGTGGTTTAGTGGTTAAACACTCAGCTGCTAACCAAAAGGTGGGTGGTTCTAACCCACCAGCCACTTCTTGGGAGAAAGCTGTGGCAGTTTGCGTCTGCAGAGATTACAACCCTGTATGCCCTATGAGGCAGTCTTACTCTTCTTATAGGGTCACTATGAGTCCTAACCTACTCAGTGATAATGAACTTGGGGTTTTGTTTTTGGACAAAATAAGAACCACTGTTTGTTCCCTAAACTAGGCAACCCTAGTGATTTCCATCTGGTAGGCAAGAAATGTTCTTTACTTCAGAGGAAAAAAAAAAAAAAAAAAAAAGAGACCCCTTCTCTTTGGGGTCTAAAGTTGCCAAAGAGGAATTTCAAAGGTGAATTAGTAGCTGTTGAGTATTTACCTGTTTAAAGCAGGCTTCCACCAGATTTGGAGGGAACATGTTCCTGCAAAGAAAGCAATAGTCACTTGAAAAAATTCCCAAATAATAAGTCGGCTCCTTACATACCATTTCAGTGTGTCTTACTGAACCAATGGAAGGGAAAGATTTTTGTGGATTTCATGACCTGAACGGGGACATATGTGACCCATGTTTTTCAGAAAAGTCCCAAATGTCCTTTCGTCAGATCATGTGAGTCTTGGTTCATCATCCAAACTTTGCTCTCAGGGAAATATCAAAGTGAGACTGGAAATGTCTTTTGTCACAAGCATTCTGGTTATAACTGAGATATTATTTCGTATTAGTGATTTTAGTATTTAGTTTTCTGTTGTGAGAACTTCTGAGGCTCACAGATGACCTATGGGTGAAGGTGAGCAGTGTTTGAATTGGGGGTTCATGTTGCAGGATTTGCTGCTTTCTCAGAGACTGTTCATTGAAGGCATTGTTTTAGTTAGTTGAGGGCACCTGCTGGTTGGTGAGTCAGCTGTGTGACCTTGGCCTTGTTACGGATGCCTTCAGGTCTCCATTGACTTATGTGTTAAAGAGGAGACTGGATTCAACTATTAAGGTGCCATGATTGAAGATTTCAAGAGAAGGAAATGACCTAGCGCAGTTGAAGAGTCCAGGATTTTCGAAGTTGTGTATTAGCAAAGACATATTTTAAGGTTATAAATGCTTGTCCCTTTCTTCCTACTACTTAGGCTGTCCTGTCTCCTTTTCCTTCTCATCTATGTTCTATGGGCTTGTTTTTATAAATAGAAATGAGAGTTCAGGGGATTCCAGGATAAATGTTTTAGTCAAATGGTTTGGTAAGGAATGTATACTTATCACTGGGGCAAGGAGGGGCAGAAACACACATGTTCTGATGAATCAATCAGCCTGGGACTCAGGAAAATTAATTCAAATTACTTGAGAGTATAAAGTTTATGGAAAAAAATGATAAAAAGTTTTAATTAACTGTAGGAGCTAAATACAACCAAAGTTATTGTGTGACAGTCTGTAATGACATAATGTTATAGGATGGCTTGTTACCTTCAGATCGTTGTGACTAACTCTCTAATAGGAGCTTTTAAGAAGAGTCCCTTTGGAGCTGGGGTATGCTTACATACAGCTGATGCAAAGACTATAACAGAAATTGAGAGAAGCTGCTGAAAAGCTCTTTTGATCTCTAAATCCCTCTTGAGCTTACCTGCCACAGACCCATCCCTTGGGATGCCACATGAAATCAAGTGTCTAACAGGAGTTCTCTTCAGATGATTAATGGGCAACCCTGTAGAGTAGGTTATAGTATCTAAGATTACTACTTGCTTTGCAGGTAAATTTTAAAGAAGGAGGGGAAAGGTCATGCTAGGAGGTGCTATTGGGTGGGGAAACCTTAAGTAGGGGGAAATCTAGAAGGCTTGATAAGATAGTGTGGTGGTGGTGGTGGTTGTTAAGTGCCATTGAGTCCATTCTGACTCACAACCCTGAGAGGTTTCCTAGGAGCAGCTGGTGGGTTTGAACTGCTGACCCTGTGGTTCGCAGTCCGGTGAAGATCCTACAGTGCCACACCAGGATAGTGTGGTATAGTGAATTATTTATATTTAATATGGCTCTTCTAGCCTTAATCTTTGTAACTCCCACCAAACGACTTTTTTCCTGGTGGGTCCAGGTAAGAGGAGGTGGGAGAAGATGCTGATAGGATAACATGATTCAGTTATGAATGCTAGCAGAATTAATTGTAATTGTAAAACCTTGAAACTCTAACATGGGTATAAAAGAGACCATCTCAGAAGCAGGAGGAGCTCACTACCATCAAACAAGAAGAGCCAGGAACAGAGCATGTCCTTTGGACCCAGAGATTCTTGTCCACTGAGCCTCCTAGATCAAGGGACAGAAAGTTATGACATCAGAGGAATGGCAGAGGAGCAGCAGCAGAATTAAGAAACAGAGCATGAGACAGAGTCGTGGGCTTCCCAGATCATGGAGCAAGTAAAGCTGAGTGACTTTGGGCAGGAGACTTGCTTGCAGATTGAGTGCCTCCAAGACACTTAATCGGGGTATCTAGGTTTGCTGACCCAAGGAGCTAGAATTGAGAGCCACCAGGCTGAGGCTTATGGTAGAATGTTGTGTCCTGTGGGCAATTATCAGCAGCCTAAAAGAGCTTTGCAACACTGAAGGAGCAGGGCAGAGGCCAGGCCAAGGGGTCAACGGCCAGGGAGAGATCTGCCTATGGGCATGGAGAGAGGTTGTCCTGACTGGGAAAAACCTGTGTTCTGAACACCTCTTACCCTAAATTATAGTTGTTAACTTCCGTAATAAGTCCTAAAACTGTGAGTATGAAGTCTGAGGTCTCTGTGGCTATTGTAATGGACTGGTGAACCCAGATCAGAAGCCGAGGGTGCTGTGGGAAAATGGTTGGTGTCATTTTCTTCCAGATAGCTTTGATTTGTCACTCTAGACCTGCTCTCCACCCTTCTCTGAGCCCTGGGAGACTGGGCCCTACGAACTGTAACATGTGGATTTTCTAGCTTTTTGACCCATTTGGGGTTGGTCCAGAGCACAAGTCACAGAGTAAGGGGAGAGAGAAGTTGATGTCTGTTTCAGAATGTGCTTTGGTAGCAGCTCCTTTTTCTTCAAATTAAAGCTTCAGCTCCCAACCTGAGGCACTCGCGTATGGCTACAGTTCTTTCTAAATTCTGCAAACAGCTCACTTCCTTTGCCCCTTCAGTGGTAGAGGTGGGAACAAAACACTTGATATTGCTGTTAGTCCTGTGGTGCTGACTCACCATGGCTTGTAAGTGCCCTAAGTCTGCTTCCACCTTTGCAAACACTCTTCAGTTATCCATTTGAGGATGCAATCTGTTTCTCGCCGAGAGTCTGACTGATACAAGGGTAGGTGATGCCAGGATCAAACATTGGCTTATTTCACAGTTCTGTGTAAGATTGACCATATTACTGCATCTATTTCAAGTAACCAGAGAGTTTCATTTGCGATCAGTGTATGTACAGCAATGTGAATGAAGCCATCCTTTACTCTTTTATTGCTATCAGAATGAAATCTACGGCAGTGGACTTGGTTTGGTTTTTGATTCTTCATAAAACGTGCCAGAAGAAAACTTTGGGACCAGTTCAAGACCAGATGACCGCTCAGGTTTCTTCTGGATGTAAACTGTTGTATATAATGGACAATAACACAGATCACAAGTTCCGAAGGAGACAAGTCCAATAAGTAGGTCATCCATGAATAAAAATTAGCCTCGAGAAAAGTAGGTTAGGAATTCTTAACCTTCCAAAGTGAGCTGCAGAATTGAGAACGTAGAGACCACATTCTGAATCTTAACAAGCAGGGGGCTCTCACAATCTGCACCCTTTCCTGGCTACCTTAGTCTCTGTCAGAGGAGATCAGAAAATCAACCCTTACTTTAGTCTCTGTCAGAAAGAAATGAAGAGGTGGTGGTCATGTCCAGCCAGGCTGGTTCAGTGATCAAAATACACCCAGAGGGTCTGGTTTGCAAGGACATACCTGATCAAGTCCAGAAAGGCATCTGCCGCTGTCACTTGGACAATTTTGCCTTCTCTGTGCATGTTTTCCTTTGTGCCCTTCCCAGGGTGGATGATGATGACAATGATTATGCCAATCACCACGGCAATGATGGTTGTAGTCATGTAATAGACTACAGCTCGCATTCCCATCTTCCCTGATGCCTTACTATCTAGGGCCGCCATTCCTGGGGAAGGCAAACAGAAGGAGATTTTCAGAAAGTCAGTTTAGGGAAATCTCCAATGGAGGACAATGGGAACGACATTTCCTTCTACACTTCCCTACCCTCATCCCACCCAGCAATGGGACTCAGACACATTATGAGAACTCGCTCCGGATTGAATTAGGACATTGAACAGTGTGAAGGGGAAATGCCATAGGATGACTCGGCCTCAGCGGTGTCAGCAAACATGTGCTCACCTCTTTTCTACTCAAAAGTGGATTTCATGTCATCAGATCAAATCTGTTCTCTACTGGTTGGAAAGTGCAATCAAGTTCTTTCCTGGCTTACCAGTAGAGGAGAAACTGTAAGTGTGAGTAATGTATGTCTGTATTTATAGAAAGATACACTTTTAAAACTACTGGCAGAATATCCTAAGCTTACTTCAAGTTCAAGCACTGAGGTGATTCACACAAAACCACTGCCCTTTGATTCTTTCAGAAGGGTTTATATATATACTTTTCAAAAAATATTTTTTATATAATTTAAGCCATTATACCAATCACCTTCTGATCTATCTTTAGTTTGCATGTAAAGTAGACTTTGAGTTATATGGCCAAAGTCCTCAATTAGCTTCTGTTGTTTTATTTCATCTCATGTCATCATATTAAAATTTTTACTTTGGTGCCTTTCTTCTCATTCTCATACCCTGTCTTCCTCGACCTGGCCCCAGACCTGGTAGACATCATCCTCTGTTAAACATCCCTCCTCTTTCCCTCATTTCCAGGACATATTCAAAGCCTACCTCACACAGGTGTCATCCTAGGTAAGGAAGACGACATGGGCTTTATGCGTTTTCTGTAGCACTATAAAATAAACACTGGACTGCTAAGTGCAAGGTGGTGGTTCAAATCCACTAGCCACTCCTTGGAAACCTTATACAGGGTCACTGTGAATTGAAACCAACTTAACCACACTTAATGATGATGACGAATTACTCTAGCAAATGCTTTCTGGGCTGGAAGACAAGTGGACAGCCCTCATCCCCAATGGTTGAATTATCTATCCTGCTATGGACTCTTCTCCTTCATTAACTATCTACTCACTTTTCTTCCTAAAACACTAAAATCCAAGGAGCTCTGGTAGTGTAGTGGTTACAAATCGAGCTGTGAACCTTAAGATCAGCAGATTGAAACTACCATCTGTTCTGCAGAAGAAAGATGAGGCTTTCTGCTCCCGTAAAGATTTACAGCCTTGGAAACCCTGTACAGGGTTCACTATGAGTCGGTTCCGACTCCACGGCACACAGCCACCAGCCACCACCATGGAGTCTTCTCCTTCATTAACCATCTACTCACTTTTCAGCCTAAAACACTAAAATCCAATTATACATAATCTACTCTTAGTTTACTGGACTTTTTTTTTTTTTACTCTTACTATTTGAAATTGTGTTTCTATAAATGTATTAAAAGGCTATACTATAATTCAGTGGTCTCTAGCAGATTCTAATGGTGGTTTATTGTTTAAGTAATGATCTGTTCACACAAACATATCTTCTTCTTGTTGAGTGCAGTACAGTCTGTTCCAATTCATAGTGACCCTGAATAGGGTTTCTGAGGTTATAAATCTCTGTGGGAGCAGAAAGCCTCATTTTTTTCCCACAGAGCCACTGGTGGGCTTGAACTGCTAACCTTGTAGTTTGCAATCCAGTGCTTATCAAACAGAGCTACCATATTCCTCAAACATATATAAAGTTTTGAGAAAAATAGTATCCTTTATTGTCAGATCATGGCTTGCCCAAAAATCTTGCAAAGGTTATTCACTTATTTGGGAACTGATATTGTGACCTCCAGTTTATAACTTTGAATCATTTTTTATCATTCAAAAAATTTAAAATAAGCACTTATCAAGTGTTTGATATATTCCCGTTTTTAACAAACTTGAAGGCAAGTTATAAAACAACTTGACCGCCTTAAGATCTAGAATAAGGATTAGAATGGAGTGAGATCCAGAACCCGGTTTCTCTTGCTTTCTGCCATTGAGAAGATAAAGTGCAGTTTTCACAAATGAGAAGGCTATCTCTGGATTCAGTGTATGAATTACGTCTTTTTTTATTTTTTATTTAATCTTTGCCTTGTTATTATTTTTTAAACCGTTGCCTACTTTACTGACATGGAGTCCTGGTATAGCGTTGTAGGGTAAGCACTAGACTGCAAGGTCAGTGATTCAAACTCAACCAGAGCAGCTCCTTGGAAACCCGTTACAGGATCGCTATGAGTCAGAACCGACTCGCCGGCACTTAACAACAACCTTCTTGAAACCCTGTATTAAATGCTGCTCCTGTTTCCCACATTTCCATTTATTAGATAGTGCCACTTCAACACTTCAATTATGCTCAAAAGGGGCTAATTCACTCTTAGCAGAAGTCTCTTATCCCTCCCAGGTCACAACTCACAGTATTTTGGCTTTCCTGTTCTCAAAATGATTTCCCCTTCCGTCATTGCCCGAACTCATCACCACTGAAGTAATCCTTCCACTGCAGACCGGGGAGTGATGTTTAAGTCCAACAGGCCGTCTCTCTGCTGGGGTGGACCAGCCAGCAGTATTTTCTCCCTCTGAGACGTCCTTTCCCTCCTGCCTTCTATTTTGTTGTGTAGTTCTGTCCTCATGCCAGCTCATCTCTGATGCTCCTGCTCACTAAGCCCAATCTATTGCTATTCAGAGACAGCCTAAGTGGTCCAGAGAGAGCTCTAGAAACCAAGGGGCAAACAAAGGGTGAGAGGCATTTTCTCTCTCTGCTCTGCTCCCACGGCAAGGGGGAATGGGGAGAAATGAGCCCAGAACCCACCCAACAGGGAATCAGCTCTAGGAAACAAAGTTTATAGTTTAAAAAAAAAATTTTTTTTTTAGAATGAAAACCAATACAATAGAAGCATTCTAGCAATGCTTTCAAATTCTGAAATAGCTGAAGATGACCATCAAGGTATTTTTTAGCAATAAGAAGAGAAGGAGAATCAATTTAATGAGAGGTCTTAACAGTCTCTACAATCAGCCCTTTCCTTTGCAAAGAGAATAAAATGATAGCCACCTTTGGTTTAGCAGGGAAGAAAGTACGGTATCTCCATTAGCCAATTCTCCAAGTAGGTCCTTCCTATGAAGGAATCTGGGAGTCCTATCCTTGCTTCTTGCCCACATCTGGCCCTGGAACTCCAATATCCTCATCCTCCCTCCTCCCATCACCGACCACTCCCTTTTCTCCACGACAGGCCGGAGAAACATGAAGCAGCACCAGCCACAAGGCTCCACAATCATCAGGGCAGTCATAGGTCAGATATGGACAATCAGTTACACCCAGTGTCAAGGAGAATGGCTTTGGTTCAGGGGGGTTAGTGGGGCCAGAGTAGTGGAGGGAGAACTCTGGAAGACAAAACCCCAAATGAGCAGGATTTGTGGTTCCTCTCCCTCGCCCACGCTGCACAACTTTTTCCTTTCTCCAGCCTCATGAAATATGAGAGAATAAGCTTTACATTGGAGACTACACACAAATGTCAGTGTCTGGGGCAAGGGTGAAGTACGAAATCACCTGGTAGAAAAGGGAGCTTTGACAGCCAACTGCCTTAAATGTCACTTAAAAAATATATGGCAATGGGATGATGGGGAGATAGGAGGTCAGTTGAGTATGTAGGTCCTTGTGGGAGTGTGTTAGAATAACCGTACATTCATCTCAGTAAATATTTAAGCACCACATTCCAGAATAAATAGTAAAGATAATGATCTTGATTGGTCCTTTTCTTCATTTGATCCTGGTTTAACTAAACCAGTTCCATTCAAGACAGTCTGACATCTCTATTATGAAGATACCTGCTGTCAGAATCTGGACCTTCTTGAAATAAAGAATTACTATATAAGGACTCTGATGATTCAAATTATGATGACATGCTTTGTATAGTTTGACTTAACTTTTATGCTGGTCCACTGAATTTGCTCACTGAGCCCTACCTCTGGCCAATGGCACATATTCGTTTAATTTCATGTCAATATTATGATGTAGATATTGTTATTGTTTTTATAGGTAAAGAAATAAGAGGCCCAGAGAAGTTAAGTAGCTTGTCTGGTCTTGCACAGCTAATAAAGGGCACAGGCAGGAAATGAATCCATCCCTCCAAGAGCAAACCCTTCCTACAATAGCCCTTTCTTCATATGGAAGCTGGGAGTTCTCCACATTTCATTTGCTTGTTATCCGTACTTGTAAAGATCTGTTAATCAGTTCTGACTCATAGCAACCCTGTATAGGGTTTCCAAGGAGTGGCTGGTGGGTTTGAACCACCAACCTTATGATTTGAAGTCCAGTGTTTATCCTACAGTGCTACACCAGGACTGGCTTTCTCTAAATTTCTTGTTTTTAAGATGAGCCAGCTGACTTGAGCAAAATTCCATGGAAGAATGTAATTGAGGAGAAAACTGTCACATTCCTCAATATCCCCTGTTGCTGTTGTTGTAAGTTGCTTTCAAGTTGGCTCCCGACTCATGGCAACCCCACGTACAATAGGATCAGACTGTTGTGATCCATAGGGCCTTTGTTGGGTGATTTTCTAAAGTCAATGGCCAGACCTTTCTTACTAGTCTGTCTTAGTCTGGAAGCTCTGCTGAAACCTATTCAGCATGATAGCAGCATGCAAGCCTCCACTCAAAAACAGTTAGAGAATACATATGATGTGCATTGGCAGGGAATTTGAACCTGAGTCCCTTGCTTGGAAGGAGAGCATTCTACAACAGAATTACCACTACCCTTTGCTGATAAATCCATGCAAGTTCTTCACCATTCCTAGGAAAACAACCCAGAACATGTTTCATTGGAGTGTGGGAAGCCTTGGATACTCCCTGGCTGTGGATACTTCAGTTTTATTATCCTTTCTACAAATCAATCAGTCAGTAACCAGTCATCAGTCAGTCCTTTCTGCAAACCTATTACATGTTCATCAATGAATTCACCCATCTCAAGGTGATTGAACAAGACATTATCTGGA